CAAATATGTAAGACTGCTTTCTTAGGGTGTGTTTACAAGATCAAATTATCTGATCTTTCTTTTTTTCTTCTCCAAAGTCTTGGCATCCGCCCATCCATCTATTTTCTTTGCTTATCCGAACCAGGTCATGGGCAGCTTAACCCAGAAAACCATCCGCTCCCCAGCCATCACATTCAGTATATCTGAGAGAACACTGGGGTGTTCCCAGCCCAGCAGAGAGATATGATCTCTCCATTGTGTCTATCTCCTCGTGGAGACATGCCAAGAACACCTTAGCCAGAGGTCACCCAGAAGGCATCCTAGTCAGATGCTCAAACCATCTCTGGCTCCTTTTAATGTGGAGGAGTAGTGGCTCTACTTTGAGCCCATCTCGAATGACTACAATGGTATACTGTCCTCCTCACTGTACCCACGACCCCATCTTACAATCTCCCTGTAGAATTCCTCCAACAACTGGGGCAGCAACTCTACCCTGACCCCAGGAGGACACTTCACCCTTTTCCAGCTGAGGACCATGGCCTCAGACATGGAGATGCTAATTTTCAATCACGTCACTACACTGCAAGCTGGAGGCCACAGCATGATGAAGCCTACAGAGCGCATCATCTGCAAAAAGCAGATATAAGATTCTGAGGCTACCAAGTTGGAAGCCTTCCACCACTTGGTTGGATCCTGTCTGTAAAGATTATGAACCGAATCAGTGACAAAGGGCAGACCTTCCCAGGGAGGCTAAGGAGTGTTTAGATCTCCATGTGATGTTGCAGAAGTGTGTGAACCAGAACAGCCCTACAATATTCAGGAACTCGTGGCAAACGTCACCCACCCCTGGGGCCACCAAGGAATTTCTGAATTATTGAACTACGTCAGTGAACTCGGGCAAGTTGTGCCCATGTTTCCCACATTCTGTTTCCTTTAGAGGAGAATTTTAAAAATGTCAGTATTGTCCTCTTACATATGGTGAACCTCAGTAGTGGTTCACTTCCACGGCCACAGACGCATAAAATCAAACAGGCTGCGAACATTTGTGAGACATTGGGTCATTTCTGGAGCTCAGTGAATTCCAGTGAGGTACCATGATGGGATGCCATCTGTGCAACTTAAGCTGTGAAATTTTCTCACCACTTAATATTCCACAGTTAGTGATTAGTGGTATTATAACGATGTGGAAGAGAGTAGGAGTGACAACAGCTCAGCCACAAAGTGACAGGCCAAGTAAAATCACAGAGCACGGTCAGCAGGTGTGTAGCACGCAGACGTCGCTGCGTTTCAGTTTCTAGAGAGAAACGTAATCTGTATTTACATCATCTGTGCAAACATGTTTGTGTTTGTTTAGGAACCTACGTGACGCAGGTGACTGCCACAGATGCAGATGACCCCACGTATGGCAACAGTGCTCGCATTGTCTACAGCATCCTTCACGGCCAGCCCTACTTCTCTGTGGACCCCAAAACAGGTGACAGGACAGCAGCTGGAAGGTTTCTGTTACAAAGCAAGAATAATTAAATCAGTTGTACTAACAGAACTCAGACGTCACATGAATTCAGTTCATTTCATGATACCTCACAAGTTTCTCCCCAGTCCAGTTACCATGGAAACATGAGCTTTACGTTGTGACTGTTTCTATTGCAGGTCAATGTAAACATAGACCTGCAATAGAAACATAAGAGCACACATATAGTGAAAAAACAGCAGCTTTTGTTCCTGTAAAGACCTTTATTGGGAAAAAGCTGCCGGGCGTCCTTCATCAAACCGCACGTTAAACTCATTCAATTCAATTTCAATTCAATTTTATTGATATAGCGCCAAATCACAACAAAAGTCACCTCAAGGCGCTTTATATTGTACAGTAGATACAGAGAAAACCCAACAATCATATGACCCCCTATGAGCAGCACTTTGGCGACAGTGGGAAGGAAAAACTCCCTTTTAACAGGAAGAAACCTCCAGCAGAACCAGGCTCACGGAGGGGCGGGGCCATCTGCTGTGATTGGTTGGGGTGAGAGAAGGAAGACAGGATAAAGACATGCTGTGGAAGAGAGACAGAGGTTAATAACAGATATGATTCAATGCAGAGAGGTCTGTTAACACATAGTGAGTGAGAAAGGTGACTGGAAAGGAAAAACTCAATGCATCATGGGAATCCCCGGCAGCCTACGTCTATTGCTGCATAACTAAGGGAGGATTCAGGGTCACCTGGTCCAGGTTAAACTCGTGTGAAGAAAAGTAAACTTTGTAGCTGCTTCATCCACCACAGCAAACATCTACTGTAAAGAAACAGACATTAATATACACATGAACTGTTAACTTTAAATTAGATAGCTCACAAAATCACTCATAGCCAGCACTCTTCTTGCCTCCTATTAATTTAAGAAAACCTTCCAAGTAGACAGAGTATTTCTTTATATAATTATATATAATTTTATGTTTTGCCTTATTTTAGATCAAAAGTTAAATATAATAAGGTATACAACCTTATTATATTAGGTACGCACCTGCATGTAGGATGATGCTGAATAACCCAACCATAACGTTAATGAGTGTCCGGATCTTGAGTTTCACTGATTACTATGAAAAGATGAAAACGAGCACATACTCAAGCTTAGATATTTAATCATCTTCAGGCTGTTTAATTCAGAGTGCCACACATGTAGTCTTACTATTTACTGATCCTCTGGTCATGAAACATCTGAGCCTATCAGGTCAGTTGAATGTGAACATGTGGTCTCTGCACATCACACGCAGCCATGCTGGGTGGAGTCTAACATTTCTCTGATACAGGGCTTGCTTTGAACAGTGCACTGATGTCTTGATAGACCCTTTTAGTGGTACCTTGATGTTTAAGCTTGTAGTTTGTGGCCCAGCGCAGTGCAGCTTCTTTCTGTGGGTAAGTGTGGGGGTTATGACCTTTCACTGGAGGTCGGTCGGGGTTTGTTGGACTCTTTCCAGTTCAGATGACGCAGGGAAGACTGGGGCCCATTGTCTGCATTGATACCTCCAACATTAACTTTAGAGGGTCCCTGCCATGTTTGCTCCCTTCAGGAATGTTTAGTATACAGAGATTAACTCTTTTCAAGGTCATCGTTCAGTGCAGGAGCAACTGGTTTTGGTCTTGTAATGGTGGGTTTGGCTGCAGTCAACCATTCAAACTTTTCATCAGTTAAAGACGTCACTGTTGTTTGTACGTCGTCTGGGGAGGCCTGTAGCAGTTTTATCGGGGAGGGGGATCACTTTTTCACACAGGGCCATTTTGGCTTTTCCCCCCTTAATAATAAACATCTTCATTTAGAAACTGCATTTTGTGTTTACTTGCATCATCTCTGTCTAATATTTACATTTTTTGTGACAAATATAGAAAAAATATTCAAATGTGGGAAGCATAGGCATACAGCATGTGTAGACTAAAGCCAGATTCATCTTCGTCTTTCTTCTTTGTTATAGTGAGGTCTAAAATGTTAAACCAAATCCTTTCAGGTATAATTCGGACAGCTCTGGCCAACATGGACCGTGAGGGGAAAGAGGAATACCAGGTTCTTCTCCAGGCCAAGGACATGGGTGGTCAACTGGGGGGACTGGCCTCCACCACCATCATCAATATCACCCTGACTGATGTCAATGACAACCCTCCGCGCTTCACTAAGAGTAACAAACTCTTAGCAATGTCTAATTTGCTCATTGTTTAAAAAATCTACTCCATCATTCATTCAGTTACGTTGGACTAATAATAGTGTTTAATTGGTTGTCTCTTTTTACTGATCTTTCTTACTCTTTAAGGTATTTTTCATCTTCATGTACCAGAATCAGCATCATTGGGTGCAGCTGTGGGACGAATTCAAGCCCAGGATTTGGATGTAGGCAGCAATGCACGGGTGGAGTATGCCATTGTTCCAGGAGATGAGGGCAACATGTTTGACATCATCTGTAATGGTCAAAGTCAAGAAGGGATCGTTGTTCTGAAAAAGGTAAATTCACCCTTTAGTGCACGTTAGTTGCTTTCTAAGTGCTTCCTGCTGCAAAGCATTGATCCATTCACACAGCACTTTATTTTATGTCTTCAAGCTGATGATGGAAAGATTGTTTTATGCTGATGCAAAGTTCTTTAAATCATAGCCCACATTCACACTGCAGGTCTTAATGCTCAATTCTGATTTTTTGCCTGGTTTTCACACTACGAATAAAATGTGACAGCAAACGCGCTGCAGTGTGAACGGTTCACGGCCCTCAAAGCGACACACATGCGCAAAAGAAGATGTCACACACAACACGCTCTGTTTACAGAATTAAAAATGGCGGCTACAGAGCTAGTAGGTGTTGTTGCAGCAGTCGATCAATTTCTGCACAGTCGTAACCGACAGAATTTTGACAAATTAATTAAAGAAAAGACACTGAGAAAAAAAAGAGCCTTTGCTTTAACGATGGCCGCCATGCTTTCTCGTTTGTCTTCTCCGGTGCTGATAATCGGCGTCTGTCTTGTGTCAGTGACATAAAAGACGGATTTAATGCGACATGACCATCAAACAGCAGTCGCTTTCTAAAACATCAGATATGTATCTGATTCAGTACCACATACGAAAGTGACCCAGATCGGATTTGAAAATATCGGATTTGTGCCGTGATCGGATATGGGTCGCATAGGGTCAAAAAAGTCAGATTTGATGCGCTTTCGCCTGCAGTGTGAACGTAGCCTTAGACTGCTTCACAGTCACATTGTTAAATGTTCATAGTTCTAAATGTGTTAAATTGTCAGTGAGAATAGAGAAACACTAACTGGTCCATTGCAATTGCTGTCACTGGGGTAATACCATGTAAGGGACTATTGTACTTACTGTATTCATTCCTTCATACTTTGTGCTCTGGTGACAATTTTGTTATTTTGTTGAATAAAAGACACATTTGGCTGACACGAGTATTTGACCAGGACAAACTCTCTGACATTCCTGTGAGAGATAAAGACATGGATGTGTACATGGAATAGATTGAAAACATTAGATAGAAAGCAATTATATGTAACCCCTGACTCACTTTAAATAGTTTAGCACAGCCAAATCTACAGACCAGTTGCTAGGTTTAACAGGATTACAATAGGAAATGAGGTGAACGTGGAGTGAAATGGCTGGAGACAGGAAATGAGCAACAATGGTTATTATTTTGTACAGAAATGAAAATTAAATGGCCTGTATTTGTATAGCGCTTTACTAGTCCCTAAGGACCCCAAAGCACTTTACACATCCAGTCATCCACCCATTCACACACACATTGGTGATGGCAGCTACATTGTAGCCACAGCCACCCTGGGGCGCACTGACAGAGGCGAGGCTGCCGGACACTGGCGCCACCTGGCCCTCTGACCACCACCAGTAGGCAACGGGTGAAGTGTATTGCTCAAGGACACAACGACCGAGACTGTCGGAGCCGGGGCTCAACCGGCAACCTTCCAATTGCAAGGCGAACTCCCAACTCTTGAGCCACGATCGCCCCAGTAAATCAGACACAAATTCCACAATAACAGCAGTAATAGTAATGATAAGCCGGCATAACAAAAATAGCCTACTGAGCTCAATATTTAAATTTTTGGTCATTTGTCAGGTCAGGATTCCTTACTAGTCTAGTTGTTTTTTCCTTGGTTTTGTGGTTTGTGTGTTACCACTTTTATGCCTCTCTTGAGGGAGAGATTCGTTTAGTCTGGGCGCAGGCTCGCTACCTCTATCCGGAGAGAATCCAAAATCTTAGTTGCTTTATCACATGAACAGAACACCAAAATGACAGAAAATTCCGCACAGACCGTCCGAAGCCTGTCTCGTCTACCTTCCACGTGCGAAAAACCAATATGTGTAATGGTGGTCCGGTGCTTGGAAGGCGGGACTAAAACCGCTTCCAACAAATGAAATGGCCATTACCCAATGTGATCCGTAAAAAGAAAAATAAAGTTTGACAGAGGATCACACTTCTTTCAAAATAAATTTGTCTTTTCAAAATAAAAGAGTGGAAATACATTTATACAAATGAAGAGAAAGCAAGAAAGAATAACAACAAAAGCGGTTTTCTCTACTGGGTTACATACACTTGTGTGTAAAGCTATGTGGTTAAGTAGAGCAGAGAAGTGCTAGTGTATACAAGAACCAGTCAATGTATCATAGTTGTCATTACCTGGATCTATAGTACCATTAGAAACCTTGAAGTTGTTTTGTGTCTAAGACTGCATTTTTGATCTGCATAATATTGCTGAAATTAAAAACATGGTGTCTAAGAGTGATATTGAAAAAATTGTTCATGCATTTATGGATGGGACCATTTTGATTTTCAAATAATCCTAAGTCCTAAAAGCTATCTGTAAACTCTTCACATTGTGTTCATTGTATTTATTCCACAACCAGTCAAGGCAGGTGTTCATAAAACACCTGTTGCAGCATAACTAAGGGAGGATTCAGGGTCACCTGGTCCAGCCCAATAAGTCTCTTGATAGGCATTTTTCTGTCCTGTACAATGAGATGATAAACATGTCAGCCGACTGACTAATTCTACATATACTGTGGTTTAAAATACAGGAATTTGATTGGACTGTTAAATTTAAATTTTAAAGATAAATGCCTGAAATTTTCACTCGTCTTTGATGCCATCAAAATGAAGTTCAGTGCTCCCATATCTGAGCACACGTAATAAAAAACTTCACATTGCAAAAGGGAAGTAAAAACATTTTCTTAATGGCATATAGTTTCATTTTACAGCACAATTACCGTGAAATAAAGCATGCAGAATACTTTTTAAACAATCACAGTCACATGAATAAAATGTCATTTTTATTTAACTTTCACACTGGATTGATATTTTTGTTTGTACTGCAAAAACAAAAATATCAGTATTTATCTTTTTAAAAAGTTCCCAGGTGGTCCTAAAATGATACTTCAGAAAGTATTTTAGTTAAAATCACTGTAGATGGCCTGTGAGGCGTCCTCTCTGCAGACATGAGGTAATATAATGATTGCTCTGAATTTTTGCTTCATCTCAGTGGATTTCTTCCCATGTTTTCCAGACTCTTGACTATGAAACCCAAGCGTCCTATACTTTCCAGGTGGAAGCATTTAATGCAGAGCTAGATCCCCGTTTCCTCCATCTGGGGCCCTTCAAGGACTCTGTGACAGTCAAAATTAACGTACTGGATGTGGACGAGCCTCCTGTCTTCACCACGCCTTACTATTCTTTGGATGTGTACGAGGACACTCCCCCAGGAACCATCATTGGCTCAGTGACCGCTTACGACCTGGATGCTAGTAGCAGTGCTGTCAGGTGGAAAGCTCTTCACAGATCTGTGGAATGATGTCAACAGACTGTTTATTTTTTTAAGTATTATTCATTTCCTGGAAGGCTGGAAATTGTAACGATGTTGTTCTACATCATAGTTTGATTCTTGATCAGAATCTAAATTCAAACCAGTTCACCAAGTAACAGTTTAACCAATTAAGAGAGTTAATTTGTTAAATAATCAAATATGATTCCATATAAAACTTTAAGAACTCTGAAGTGAAACTATTGATTAATTACCACAAACTGACAGATCACTGCAGACGTAAAAGCTTTTAAAACCAGTCAGTAATATTTTTAAAAGTTCTTTTTTTATTTGACTGATGACTTTATACATGCGATTAGTTTTTATGTCTGGTTGACCAAATTAAATGTCTATAAAAATGTAAAATGAAGTTAAAGTCCATGGATGTCTGATGTGTGCAGGTATTCTCTGGAGTGGCAGACGGGCTCTGACGGCTTTTTTGACATTGAGACGGTGGAAGGAATCATATCCACTAATGAATACTTGGACAGAGAGACAGCTGTTCAGCACAATATCACTGTGGTGGCAACTAAACTTAGTAAGTATTCCACACCAATAACTACACACAACCACCAACAGTATAC